ACGTGCTCCGGTCTTTTATAGGCAAGTTTGTAGTGGTATACTTTGATGACATCTTAGTCTATAGCTTGTCTGAGGAAGAACATGTGTATCATCTAAGAAGTGTACTTGAAACCCTTAGGAAAGAGACCTTGTATGCAAACAGGGAGAAATGCATTTTTGGCATGGATCATGTAGTCTTCCTAGGGTTTGTAGTGAGTTCAAAGGGAGTCCAAGTGGATGAAGAAAAAGTGGCAGCAATTAGAGATTGGCCAACTCCCACAAATGTGAGTGAAGTGAGGAGTTTTCATGGGTTGGCTAGTTTCTATAGAAGATTTGTTAAAGATTTTAGTACAATTGCAGCCCCCTTGAATGAAATAGTGAAAAAGGTTGTGGGTTTTCAATGGGGCAAGGATCAAGAAAATGCTTTTCAAACACTTAAAGAAAAATTGATCAATGCACCACTCCTAGCCCTTCCAAACTTCACCAAGTCATTTGAGGTTGAGTGTGATGCTTCAAATATAGGCATTGGGGCAGTCTTGCTTCAGGAAGGCCACCCCATAGCTTACTTCGGTGAGAAGCCGAAAGGGAGTCATCTCAATTACTCCACCTATGACAAAGAGTTATATGCTCTTGTTAGGGCTTTACAAACTTGGCAACATTATCTTCTTCCAAAGGAGTTTGTGGTCCATAGTGATCATGAATCCCTTAAATTTTTGAAAGGTCAAAGAAAACTTAGCAAGAGACATGCTAGGTGGGTAGAGTTCATTGAGCAATTTCCTTATGTAATCAAACACAAGCAAGGGAGGAGTAACATAGTGGTCGATGCTCTATCAAGGAGACATACTTTGTTAAGCCTTTTAGAAACAAAATTTTTAAGCTTTGATCATATTCGGGAACTATATCCTAGAGATGATGACTTTTCCAAGATTTATAGTGAATGCCTAAAGGGGGTCATAAGGATTTTTACATTCACAAAGACTATCTTTTCAAAGGAAAAAGGATTTGTGTACCCCGAGGGTCCTTAAGGGCTTCACTTGTCAAGGAGTCTCATGAGGGTGGTTTAATGGGACATTTTGGGGTGTCTAAGACTTTAGAAATCCTTAGTGAACACTTTTACTGGCCACACATGAAGAGACATGTTGAAAAATTTTGTGAAAACTGCATTGCATGTAAGAAAGCCAAGTCTAGGGCCCAACCTCATGGACTTTACACCCCTTTGCCCATTCCTACTTCACCTTGGGTAGACATATCCATGGATTTTGTACTTGGGCTTCCAAGGACAAAGCGAGGAATGGATTCCATCTTCGTGGTAGTGGATCGATTTTCAAAAATGGCCCATTTTATCCCCTGCCACAAGACGGACGATGCATGCCTAGTTGCAAATCTCTTCTTTAGAGAAGTTGTTAGATTGCATGGGATACCTAGGACAATTGTATCGATAGAGATACTAAGTTCTTGAGTCACTTCGGAGGACACTATGGGGAAAACTTGGAACTAAACTCCTTTTTTCAACCACTTGCCACCCACAAACAGGATGGTCAAACGAAGTAGTGAATAGAACTTTGTCTCAACTATTAAGATGCATGATTTCTAGGAACCCCAAAGAGTGGGAGAACATAATTCCCCATGTAGAGTTTGCATATAACCGGGTGGTTCATTCCACTACCTCCCACTCTCCTTTTGAGGTCGTTTATGGATTTAATCCTTTAACACCTTTAGACCTCCTTCCTCTACCTACCCATGAAGCTTGGACTAACCAAGATGGTCTAGAAAAATCTAAGATCATTAAGGACCTGCATGCCCGAGTTAAAGCCAACATCGAGAGGAAAGTAGGTCGAGTATAGCAAGTATGCCAATAAGGGAAGAAAGGAAGTCATCTTCCAACCTGGAGATTGGGTATGGCTTCACTTGAGAAAGGAGCGGTTCCCGACTCAAAGGAAGTCCAAACTTAACCCCGAGGTGACGGACCTTTCCAAATAGTTAGGAAAATAAACAATAATGCATATGAGTTAGATCTACCAGTCGAATATAACATTAGTAACTTTTTTAATGTTGGTGATCTTACTCCTTTTGATACAGGTTTTGCAAATTCGTGGACGAATTCTCTCCAGGGAGGAGAGGATGATGAGTCCCTAGTTGCCCTGGAGGCGGGAGAGGTCATTCCTAGGAGGATTACTAGAAGCATGACTAGAAGGGAGGCCTCCTCTTTACCTTCCATTTTGAATTTACTTAGTATCTTTACTTAGTATTTTCTTTTTCTAAGTTTTTCACTTATTTTCGCTTTCTTTTTGTAGGCTCACTTTTTGCACCTCCTTTTTGAAGAATACCACCTTTTTTTGGTGGAAAAGAAGCCTTGGATCCATAGGATACATGCATGGGCAGCCCAAAGGTGTAGGACACTCCTTTTTCATGTCCTACACCCCTTTTTGGAGAGGAAGAAGCTTAGGATGCGGGATTGGTTGGCTTGGGACAACCCAAAAGGAAACACACCTCTTTTTTCATGTTCTCCACACCCTTAGAGGTATTTTTGGTGGGCTAGAACGAATTTAACATATTTAGACCATGGGGACTCTAGCCTTTAGGTTTAGGTTAAGTTTATGTCTCCTTTTATAATTCCATCTAGGTCCCTCCCTTAAAAGCCTATAAATAGAGGCTTCCCCTCATGTAATTAGGTTGAACATTTATGAAAAGTTTGTGAGGTTTCTTAGAGTGTTCCATCTCTTTGAGTGTCTTATCTTGAACCTTGGTTCAAGTGGCGGCAACCACCACTTATCTAGGGTGGCTCATCCCCCTAGTGGCGTGCCAACACTCCACCACCACCATAATTCTTTTCTCTTCCTCTTTTCTTCTTTATTTCTTCCCTTCATTTATTTATGCAAGGGGCTGGTCCAATTTTCCAGCCCTTGTCTTTATTCGTTTCTAGTTTCATTCCATCTCTTTCTCCCTCCATAATCCTTGGAAATGAACCTTCACATCTAGATAGGCAACTATCTTAATGTCCAGTGGGAATTTTCCTTGGGTTTGCTTACTTTATTGCTTAAAATTCTGCACCTTATCTTCTTACAATTCTGCACCTTACTTTATTTTTACATCAGTTTAGGTCCTATTTGATTGGATCTAAGATTGTAATATACACTAACCATGCAACCATAAAATACCTGTTAACCAAACCCGATTCTAAGCCTAGACTGATTAGGTGGATACTTTTGTTGCAGGAATTTGATTTGGAAATCCGGGATAAAAAGGACAGTGAAAACAACGTTGCAGATCATCTGTCACGGTTAGTAAATGAAGAGGTGACCATCATGAAGAGGGAGATCCTTGAGGAGTTTCCCAATGAAAAACTCTTTTCCATTCAAGAAAGACCTTGGTTTGCAGACATGACAAACTTCAAGGCTGCTGGAGTAGTTCCAGAAGATTTAGATTGGAATCAGAGAAAGAAATTCTTCAAGGATGCATCTCATTTTGTTTGGGATGATCCATATTTGTTCAAGATTGGTGTCGATGGTCTACTGAGAAGATGTGTCTCAGGGATGGAAACTAAAGACATCTTGTGGCATTGTCATAATTCCCCTTATGACGGACACTACAATGGGGAAAGAACAGCAGCCAAGGTCCTTCAATCAGGCTTTTATTGGCCCACTCTTTTTAAAGAAGCTTATGAGTATTGTAAGAACTACAACAAGTTCCAAAGAACTAGGAACATCACAAAAAGACATGAATTGCCTATGCAAAATATTTTAGAAGTTGAAGTGTTTGACTCCTAGGGGATTGATTTTGTTGGTCCATTACCCTTCTCATACGCCAATGAATACATTTTGGTGGTAGTGGACTATGTGTCAAAATGGGTTGAAGAAAGTGCCACACAAAAAGAAGATGTCAAGACTGTGATAAGATTTTTAAAGAAAAATGTGTTTTTGCAGGTTTGGAACTCCAAGAGTACTCATCAGTGATGGTGGTTTTCATTTTTGTAACACACAATTGAAGAAAGTTCTTAAGAATTATGGAGTGAGGCACAAGGTAGCCACACCATATCACCCCCAAACAAATGGCCAAGCGGAGGTATCTAATAGAGAATTAAAGAAAATTTTGGAGAAGATCGTGGCAAGCTCGAGAAAGGATTGGGCCATGAAGCTAGATGATACTTTATGGACTTATAGGACAACTTACAAGACATCTGTGGGACTGACTCCATTTCAGCTTGTTTTTGGCAAAGCTTGCCACCTGCCTATAAAATTAGAGCATAAGGCATTTTAGACCCTTAAGTCTTTGAATTATGACTTGCAAACGGTTGGTGAACGGAGAAAACTCTAGTTGCATGAGTTAGAAGAGTTAAGGTTGCAAGCTTATGAGAACAACAAGATCTACAAGAGCAAAGTAAAAGCCTATCATGACAAAAAGATCTTGAAGAGAAGATTTCAACTAGGTCAATCAGTTCTCCTGTTTAACTCAAGATTGAGGTTGTTTCCGGGAAAACTTAAGTCCAAATGGTCAGGCCTATTTTTGGTTAAGACTGTCAAATCATATGGGGGAATAGAACTTGAAGATCCTGCCACTAGGAGAACCTGGATAGTCAATGGTCAAAGGCTAAAACCTTACTTGGGAGGTGAAGTTGAGAGGCTCACCACCATCACACATCTTAAGTAACCTGAATCATGTCAAGCTAACGATAATAACTTAGCACATTTTGTTATTTTATCTTAGAACATTTTGTTATTTTATCCATGTTGTTTATTTTTGTCAATACATTATAATTGTCTCAACGTGAATACATGTCATATGTGTGATAGTTTGTTGTAGTGTGGAGTTTTTAATAAAGGAAGCAAGCATGACAAAGAAGGGCAAATGAAAAGAAGAGTTAGGCCTCCTAGAAATCTGCCCAACCCCTTTTAGGTGCGCCCAGCGAATCACCTCAAGTAAGTTTTCAAAATTTTCTCTGCATTAAGCCGCTCAGCGCCTAAGGTTTGCGCTCAGCGGATTCTGTGCAACACAAGGTGCCAATTCCGCCCAGTGCCTAACTCATGCGCTCAGTGGACTTTGGTAAAGAAAGGGGTGGACACGGCACAAAATCCGCCCAACGCATAAAAAATGCGCTTAGCGAATTTTGGCCAAAAAGAAGAGCTGCATGCGCTGCCAAATCCACCCAGCGCCTTAGAAATGCACCCAGCAGATTTTGGCCAAAAAGGAAAGGTGCATGCGCTGCCAAATCCGCCCAGCGCCTCAGAAATGCGCCCAACGGATTTTGACTAAAAAAAAAAACCACTTTCAAAAGGGGTCAATTCCCCTTCTCTCTCAATTTCACTTTCATTGTCACGCTTAACTCTTTCTTCCCAACACTCATCTCTCTCTCAAAAACCACTTTCCCTACAACCCCTTAATCTCCAATCTCAACTTCTCCTTCCATCTTCTCTTTCCCCTTCCCCTCATCTTTCTTCTTTGCATTGTGTGAGCCCCTTACCTTTATTGTCACTCTCCACAAGGTACATATTCTTCTCTTCATCTTCTTTGGCTCACGCTTATCTATTGTTTTTGGGGATGAATTTTGTTCTTTCTTGTGATTGTGAGCTGTTTCTGGGGGTATTGGTGAGGGGTTGATTAAGTTGCTTGAATTATTGGAGGAGAATGAAGAACTGTCCTCCAAGTGTTTGACTAATTGTTTTAATGGTTTCCTTGTTGAACTTTTCTTCTCTCTTGTGATTTTATTGTTATTTTGGTGAAATTTATTTTTGAGGATGGTTGAATGATGGGCATGTTAATAAGAATGTGGTTAGGCACACCATGTGTTTGACTAAATACCCATTTGAATCTTGTGCTTATTTGGTTATCTGCCTGCCTATTGTTTGATGAGTTGCGGGTGTGAGTAGTTTATATGTGTGTGGCTGAATTGCTTCCCCAAATTGTGATTATTTGGTTTAGTGACTAGCTTACATGTGTGAACATGCATCAAGCATTTGATTGATTAAATGTGTAGTAAGAATGTCTTTGTCTTTTGTCTACCAAGTGTTTGTAAAAATGCCAACATGAGTTTTAATAGTACAAATAGGGCTCCACTTTCTTTTAATGTGTTTGAGCATGACGATGAGTTTTATGTGTGTTAATATCTTTTAGAATAACCCATGTATCTCTGTTTTGCATCTAACCCCTTTTGCAGTGAATTTATTTCTTACCTCTCTGTAGCATCATGTCAAAAAAATTCACTCACCAAATCCCAACATCTAAGAAGCGAAAAGGCCAATCATCTTCCAAAGAAATAGTTCTTGCTGATACTATGCCACTTTCATCATTCACTTGGCAGCGTGAAAAATTTTTAACTAAAGAAAAACAACAACGCTTCTTAGACATTGAAGGTAGAAAATTCTTAGAGGAAAGAAGTGTAAATCTTAAACCTGGCGAGTGGGATGAGTTTCAAGAAGAGATCAATAGGAGGAATTGGGGAAGATTAACTCAGCCTGAAGAAACATTTAATGAGACAGTCGTGAAAGAATTCTATGTCAATGTTTTTCCTCTCCACAGGAACGAGAATACCAGAACTTCTTGGGTTAGGGGCACTAATATTCCCTATGATAGGGACACCATTGATGAGTTTCTGGGAACTAACTACAACATTGGGGATGACGACAGGGATACATTCACCAGGTTGCGAAGAAACATGTATTTCTAGCCCAACATGCTTATATCTATTCTTTGTCTACCTAGGAGATCCTATGAGGTGGGGCGTACTGGGAAGCCAGTTAATTTTTTGAGGAAGGACTTGAAGACGCTGGTCAGGATTTGGCAGAGTTTCATTTATTGCAACATCATGCCTTTGACTCACATATCTGATCTAAACATCCCCTGGGATGAAGTCATTTGTTGCATTCTGGAGAGGTATGGATTAGACATAGCCTGCATCATCTCTGATGAGATCCACTCTTGTGTGCTCTCAATACCATCACCCTCAGGAGTCAACAAACCTCTTGCATTTCCAGGGTTAATTATGGGGTTACTGAAGACCCATGAAATATCCATTCCACCTCATCCCTCTAGACCATTGCGCCTCCCAATAAATGCTGCATACATTATAGCTCATTGCCATAACCTGGATGAAGGAGTGCAAGGCCCTCAACCGTTAAGACAGTCTCGTCGTGGTCCTATTCCACCCTCCAATCTAGCAGACCTTTCACTGCAAGTCTCCAACCTTTCTGTAGTTGTTCAACACATGGGGAAAATGCAAACTTCCAATAACCTGGCCCTGCATTCCCTTAACAACAGTCTTTATTAGCAACACCAGTGGCAGTTTCATGCAGGTTCAGAGTTTGTTTGGCCAACACCAGCTACCTTCAATTCATATATTCAGTGGCCTGGGGACATGCCTGTATTTCCAGGAGGGGGCAGGGCCAACAACCAGCAGAAGATGAGGAAGTTGAAGCAGAATAGGAGGAAGAGGAGCCCTGATCAGGAGTAACATTGGCATTTCTTTTTGTTTTTGTTTTAAAATCTACATATTTTGTGTAGTAGTAGCATTTAGTTCATTTTGGTAGCTAGTAGTCAGTCTCTCATTTTGGTAGTTGGACTGGGTTAACTTTTAATAGTTTATAACTTTCTTTAAAATTAGTTTTCAGTCTTAGGAGTAAATACTCTTTTTTGTCAAAATTAATCACTTTTTGGTAAATTATAATTTCTGTTTCTTTTGGAAGATTAATCATCCATTTTGGTATCCAGTAGGAATCACTTTTTGGTACAACATTTTCTCAGAAAGAAAAGATAATAGAAAGAAAACCATACCCTTTTGTTGATAAACTCATTTTTTTTATAAGAAAATTGTAGGTTAAAACAAGAAATAAGATTGATGATTCTGTTAACTTTAAATCAAGTAGTTGAACTCTGTTAATCAAGTTTTGCAACTTAAAGCATCTTCAAGCAAGTCTGGAACAAGTTTGATATTGTCTGAAAACACAAACCAGTTGTGTGAGTAGTGAGTGAGCAAGTGAGTTAAACAGAACAAATTCTTTTGAGATTTAGCATTGTGCATACTTGTTGATTTTGTTTGAGTCTTTTATGAGTTCTCTTGATTGGTGATGCATGGAAAGGATCAAGGCAAAAAATAAAATAAAAAATTCTTTGTCCAGATTTAAAAGCTTAACCAGTGTCAAATAGTCGTCCCATAAATGTAAATAGACCCTTGCTGAAAACCATATTCTAGCTTTATATACGCACTTCTAACCCTTCAACCTAAATGATAATTTCTTCACCCCTAACCAAACTCCAAGGAGCAAAATGGAATTGAATGTGAGATAAGTTGGGGGGAGTCTTGAAAGAAAAGTTGTCAAGTGGTAGTTCTCTGAAAATAATGGAAGGAGAACTTAGTTCTCTTAAAATGATGTAAAAAAAATTGAAGAAAGAAGACGAACCAATAAATTCAATAAGGCTATACTTCAAAAGTTGATGGTTATGTGGGATAGTTGAGGTAGAAAGTGGGATGAGAGAAGGATAGTTGGGGTTGAAAATAGAGAGTAGACAAATCATCAAAACATTAATTCTGAGTTGCTCTTTAGGAGTTTGGCTTTTGTTTATCCAGAAAAACCATGAATTCTTGTAGTCAGGCCCCATTACAACCCTTTTAAGACCTTAGTGATCCATGCTTAGCCTATTCTTGTGACTCATGAAAAATGTATACCAAAATTGATTCAGTGTGTGCAGTGTTTGAATAGAGAGTTGCAGACATAATTTACATAAAATTTGAGCGTCATACAGTGCATCGAGAGGTTTGATTCTAGATTGAAAGACAATGGATAAGGAGTGAAGTTCTTGCTTGAAAATGATTAATGACACTTGACTTTTGGTTGGTATGTGATCACCATTTGATTGTTGAGTCACTAATCTCAATCTTGATCTCTTTGTTTTAACCTCAATGTTCTAATTACTTAATGGTCTATTTTGAAATCTTACACCTTTTGTTTAAGGACAAACAAGGTTTTAAGTTAGGGGGAGTTTGTTAATGAGCTAATTGAGTATAAATTTAATTGAAAAACTCACCTTTATTAGATAACATTTGCATCTTTTTGTTGTATATTCAACCTTAAAGAGCATAAAAATCATGAGAAGATATTATCAAGTAACTATTCTCCCAAGTTGTTTTTTTATTCAGGATTTGAAGGAAGAGAAAAAGAAATATTGGAAAAAGAGAATCCACTTAGTGCAGGAAATGATGCGCTCAACAGATTTGAGGTGAGAAGAATCCGCCCAGCGCAGGAAAAGATGCGCTCAGCGGATTTGCTAGCGAGAGAAGTGTCAACAAGAGCTAAAATCACTCCAACGCCTCAAAAATGCACCTAACGGATTGGACAGCGAAAACACCTCTAATAATTTTAAGGATCCGCCCAGCGTATTTAAGGAGCGCCCAACGGATTTACCCTCTCTTTAGACCTAATTTCTATTTAATAATCAAAATAATAGACGGGGGGAGATAGTCAGACAGGGGAGAAAGGAAGAAAAGATGGTGGGAGCTCGCGGGAACGCATATCCACTTGAATTCAATAAGTTATTGTTGTAATTTCTTCTCCTTCTTCTCTTGTTTTGTAATGGGTTCCTCCATGAGGAGCTAAAATTCTTTGGGTTGGATTGCATGTAACTACTTTCGGACCATTTCTCCATATATATGATTTTTCTTTGCTACAATTGTGTTTGATTATTCTTAATGCTTTCTTCGGAGTGGTCAACCGATTTAAGATCCGAGGGTTTTGATTGTGTTGGAAAATGTTTTCATTAATCGAAAATGGATCAAATGCTTATTAGACAAACTATCTAGGAATAGAAGTGTGTTTATTAATCACGTTAATCTCAAGATCTTTTCGTAAGGTAGAGTGTTGGGTTTGAACTGTTGAGGAATAACGTTCAAGGTTAACACCCTAGGACTTGGTTTCGAGGAATCGGGCTATACTGAGAGTGAAACTGTAAAATAGAAATTATATAGTTGGGAAATAGGGCTGGAATCAAGTGCATGTAATTCAATCTGCTTTATTTATAATCACTTTTCGTTATACTAAATATTGCACTTATTTTTAGTTGTTTGTCTCACATCATATTTTCGATCCATGATGATAAATATATCTTGTCTGCAATATCGCTAAGTCACAAATTCCTGTGGACGATAACTCTTTACTACATCGAAACTTGGTACACTTGCCGGGTAATTTGAATCCATCAGTGAAAATAACAACACTATGCCACTGCACCACCGCATATGTCGCGTCCTTTGAATCCATTG